GCTCTGATACAGCCTGCTAACAACACTGTTTAACTGGCCAGGTGGTGTGTGTGTGTGTTTGCAAAATGTGTAGTGTGTGTGTTAGTGTGAAGTCTGTGTGTTGTTATAAAAATGTGAAAGCCGCAGCCGGAGAGCAACAAGGATGAGCAAGAAGACTGCACCCTAAAAGTTCAGTGTACTTGACCAATAAACATCTGAAACTGTTATTAAGTGTAGTTTTGGGTTATATATGAGTTGTATTTTGTCCCTGTGATTTTGCCATTGTTTCATGTGTCTTTCTATTTGCCTCTGTTTCTCTCTTCCTTGTCCTTAGTTATTTATTTCTTGTCCATCTTTTTATTTTGTTATCATCAGTGTCTGGTGTTCTTGTCTAGCTTTGTTCTTGTTCTATTAGTTTATTTTAATCTTTTTTTGGTTCATTCTTCCGTTTTGGTTTCATGGTCTGTCTCGCCTTCCTGTTTCACTCTGCCCTGTTTCACTGAGTCTGTCTGCGTGCCTAATTAGTTCATCATGACTTGTACCTGTGTACGCCCTTACTGATCATTTGCCTGTGCATTTAAACCCTCAGTTCAGTTTTGTCTATGTTGCGTCTTCATCGTCTGTGTTGAGTGTTCCGTCCTGTCCCCGCGCTTTTGGATTAATCCTTGGTTTGTACCTTGGTCCTTATTTATGGATTTTCCCTGTGGATTAAGTTTTAGTTTGGAGTTACTTTTGTTTGGACTTTTTGCCTGCTGTGCTACCGTAAGCCTGTTTTAAGTTGCTAAATAAATCTTTTGTTTGAGCTGCATCCTCCTTGCTGTTGTCTGCATTTGGGTCCACACTTTTCCCTCAGCCTAGCCTTGACATAAACATTACCCTAGTATTTAGCAGTTATCATAGGAACATCATGGTTAAATGCTAAATAAACTATTTAACACTGTTAATGTAACAATTTATTACATTAATGGTACAGAGAGTGACACATTTGGTAAAGACATTTTATTACGTTATTGGGAAGTTATTACATTATCAGGGTTTTTTTTTTAATCTTTTTGACAGAGTTAAGAGGAAATTTTTATTACATTGGGAAATTATTACATTATTGGGTTCTACACATTTACATGTTTATGTAACTAGTTTTGCAGAATAAAGTCCTTTAAGGTCATGTTTGTGTGAGCTTCCTCTTTTGTTCCAAGAAGGAGACAACTTGTAACAAAATGTTATTAGTACTAAATTAATAATCTCACTGATTTGTCTAAATTATCAAATTATTATTTTTCTATTAGTTTTAAGCTGCCACTGCAGATTTTAGACTGACTGATGCAGATTGCAGATTATATGAGCGAGCAGAATCAGACATGCAGAGAGTGACACACCGGGAGACAGCTTTACACAATGTGCTGGAAACTCAGGAGGCTTTCACAACTTCCTTATTTGGTTCCGACTTTCGGACTTTTTAATTTGAGCTGAACCAAAATTACAGGTGTGAAATCTCCCCTCTACCATGGTCCAGACCAAACAGGCGAAATTTGGTCCGACAAAAAGAGGAAGTCTCGGTCTGGATCAAACTGAACCATGGTTCAGTTCATTTCTAGTGTGAAAGCATTTTTTTAATGGGTCGGACTTTCAGACCATTTACAGGACATTCGGTGTTTCCTGTGTGAGCCGGAAACAAAGGCTGTGTCCGAAGTCTCCCAATACTCAATATATAATGGACTATATAGTGAGGTCGCCATTTTGGAGTGCTGTCCGAATGTATAGGGAGAATTATTATACCCTATATAGTGGACTCAATGTATCCCAGCATTGACTGCATATAGCTGATGTTATATGTTGCCGTTAGCTCATCTGCCGCTTTTCAATAACTAATCGTATATCTTTCACCAGAGGTTCAGCAATGTCACCATAGCTAAACGTATTGGATGGTAACAAAACGGTTAGTGAGCTAGACTGATTATTCTAAATGAGATCGTTATCACATTTTATAACAGTTAGACCTCTGTAAGTAACACTACTGTGGTGAATAGGTCTTGTGGTGTTGTCCTGCGCCGTCATGTTGCATTATTGCAAGCAACAGAGAAAACAGGCGTGTTCTTCATTTCTAGCAAGTGAGGTTACAGCCCATCAAGTAGGCAGTAAAAATAGGCAAATAAAAAAATGCTAAGTGCCAATGTGCACATTTTATGTTGGTTTTTTTAAATTCATAATTATGTAATAATTTATTTTATTTTTACTTTAATTATTCTGTAAAGTACTCAACTATTTTTATACTTTTTAGCACAAACATTTGTATTTAATTGCCCATTACCCATATTTGCATTTGTAATAAATTTGTTAATGGGTGGTATGCATCATGTCATTTACCTTTAAGTGTATAAAACATTTTACCTCTAAAAATGATGATTATATTTGAAAAATCATTTCCAGTTTGAAAAATCAGTATAGTTAAAATTTTGACAAAAAGTATCAGTATCAGGTACGGCAGACTGTCTGATATGTCATTATATTATCAGAATTTGGATTTTTACAACTTCCATAGATGCAGCATTGTCTGGTTATAATTATATTATTAAATGAGCATACAGTAACTGAAGTGTTTGCAGCAACGTTTTTCATAATTTAGACGCACAAATCGATAGCAAACACATCAGCCAAAATTCATTGCCTTTAGGCGATCTGGCTCATGATAAAATTCAACCCATTCAGTGCAATAGTGGAAGGAGCCTTGGTTAAATGAATGGAGGAAAACAAATTGCCACATGCCTGTTTGTACTGCAGATGAAATGTACACATTTCCCCCAAACTTGTGCACCATGTTCTAACAAACGGAAGCCTCAACTAGCGCAGACACTGGACAAATATAGAGTTCAATTTCTTCTTTTTGTCTTTGTGAATTTTCCTTCTTTAAGGATAATAGCACACAGGTTTCCTCAGATCACATTAAGATCATTTGCTGAGCCAAAGGTGACAGCCTGTGATGTTCCGAAGCAATAAGTCGATCTCTGTCTCTCTGTCTGGTTTGCTGGCTAACTTAGACAGCTGCCTTGATAAGGACAAAAACTCCTAGGTAACCCAAGGTCAGGATTGTAAAGAGATTCAGTAACATGTCATATATCCATGTAGCCACAAGGCGGCACTGTGATAATTTACTGTGTTAACTCAGAGAGAGGAACTCTTATCAATATAACATGGAGTGGAAAAATAAATGACTAGCACAAGCTAGCTGTTCATCACAACAATGTGTCATCATTGAAAAAGGAATGAACATTACAAGGATTAGCTTTTTTGATTTCATTACAGACTGACTGGCTCTCTTTTAGTAAGTGTTGCAAGACCATTCCATCACACTGAGGGACTGTTTCTCTTTTACAGCTGTTAAATTTTAATTAATGTTCCAATAAATAATTAAAAACCTGTCAATGATATCCTTCCTCCAGTATTGCAAACATTAACCTCTGCTCCGTAAACTCTTGGCTGAGCAGAGGAGCAGTCTGGGCAATCCTAGCAGCAGTTGCTCTCTGTAGATCAGCTCAAATCCATTTAAACATTCACAGAAGTTCATTATTCTGATATATGTGAGGAGAAGTCAGCATACCTTCCCTAAAAGAATGGCGCAATCATAAAACAAAACATGGCTACAAAGAAAAAACTGAACCAACCCCTGTTCAAAACTCTGCACCCTTATTTCTTAATACTGTGTATTGCCACCTTTAGCATTAATGGCAGCGTGCAGTCTTTTGTAATAGTTGTGTATGAGGCCCCAAATTCTTGCAGGAGGTATAGTTGCCCATTCATCTTGGCAAAATGCCTCCAGTTCATGCAAAGTCTTTGGTCAGCCCCCCACCCCCCACATAAGAACTACAGTGAGCCACCACCATGCTTCACATTGGGGATGGTATTCTGTTCACTATAGGCCTTGATGACCCCTCTCCAAACAGAGCGCTTATGGTTGTGACAATAAAGCTCTATACTGGTCTCGTCACTCCAAATTACAGCATATTGTAACCCCGGCTTTTTTGTGGCATTGGCGCAGGAAAGGCTTCTTTCTGGCAACTCATCCATGCAGCTCTTTTTTGTATAGTATCGTTGTATTGTGCTCCTTGCAACAACCGCATAATCTTTTTCCAGAGCAGCCTGTATTTCTCCTGACGTGGGTTTTTCTTTGTATTCCAAACAATTCTCGCTGAAATCTTTCTTGGTCTAGGATTCAGGAACAAGAAAAAATGTTTGGAATGTTTTTATTAGTTTTTCCATCCATCCATCGTCAACCCCATACCCTGCGTACAGGGTCACGGGGGGCTGGAGCCAATCCCAGCTGACATCAGGCGAAAGGTGGGGTACACCCTGGACAGGTTGCCAGTCCATCGCAGGGCCACACATAGACAAACAACCAGTCACACCTAAGGACAATTTTGGAGACACCAATCAACCTAGCCTGCATGTCTTTGGATGGTGGGAGGAACCCAGGTAGAACCCACACAGACACGGGGAGAACATGCAAACTCCACACAGAAAGGCCAGGGCCATAACCTTCTTGCCGTGAGCCGACAGTGCTAACCATTGCACCACCGTGCCGCCCTTTATTAGTTTTTGATATTATTAATTGTTTAAATTTGAGTTCAGCTAAAATTTCAGTTTCAGTGTCTCTGCTTCTCAGCAGAACTCACTGTAAACTTTCACAGAGGCCAACATCAGAAGATTATTTGTAGTTTAGTGTGCCTACTGTTAAACTGCAATATCCTATAATTTATTAAAAATTCTTCAGGAAACAGGCTGAAGCCCTGTTGGGGGAACAAATCCAGGAGCCCATCCTAGCAGAATAATTACAATGCTGTCTGCCTAGTTATGCAAACACTGATATGATTAGGGTGGTCTGAGTAAATCTGAGCTAAAACTATTTGTTTGTTCTCAAGCTGGGGAGAAGTAGAGCCACTTCATGAATGTTTAGAGGACCTAAGCTTACATATATAGGGTTCATATGGTGACATAAACAAACAAAAATACTCTGATGCTAGCTAGGCTATTTTGTTTACATGAATATTGTTTATTTCAATTGCCTGTATTCTTAATGATTGATAAAAATGATATCCACTTTTGCTGGGGTGCGGGGGCATGCACTCTCATGCACTCACCATTTATTTTGCTCTATAAACACTTTGACATGTTTAGCTTTTGCTTATGTGAACGTTGCAGATGATTCACTGAGTAGTGTTGCTGTGGACTTATTGTGGAGAAACATTCAGGACCGTCCGGATGCTGTGGAACAGAAATAAAAGTGAAATGATCAGACTTGCACCTGGTTATTTATCTGTGTTGGTGAGTCATAAATGGTGGAGAAAGCATAAACCTACCATTTGCTGTGCTTCATCAGTTCAATGGCATCATTGACCTGGTCCAAGGTCATGTTGTGAGTGATGAACTCATCCACCTTCAACTTCTTGTCCATGTAGGCTTTGCACATCTGAGTCACTCCATCCTTACCCTTAAAACCTAAGTCACAAAATCCCAAAATCAGAGCATGGAGTCTTATCCAGAACACGACTGGCTGGAGAAATGCAGAACATGAGCCCACAGTCATTTAGTTTGAGACTGACTAGTCAGTGGTCACATTTGTCTCACCTCCAAACATGGAGCCCTTCCATGTGCGTCCAGCGATGAGCTGAATCGGTCTCGCAGCAGTGTCATGCAAGTCTGTCCAGCCAACAATCACACTGACACCCCAACCTTTCACACAAGACTCCAAGGCACTGCGCTGAATGGAGAAACGTTAAAGTTAGTGGTTTGAAACTGAATGGGTGCTGGTCCAAATCTCTGGGCTAGCTGAGGAAATGTGGGCTGGGTAACTTAATGAATGACGCTCAGCTCTTCTTCAATTGCTACTGCTGGGAAAGAGGAAGTGAACTCAGTTGATTTAGATAAGAATAAAAGGTTATTGTTTTAGGTAACACGGTACCTCTTCATTATATTCTCAAATCAGATGAAAGCTCCCTACCATGACTCCCACATTCCCGACACATTCCAGGGAGTAGTCCACTCCTCCGTTGGTCATCTCGGACACCACTTGGCTGATGGGTTTAGTGTGATCCTTGGGGTTCACGAAGTCAGTTGCGCCAAACACCTTGGCCTTCTCAAACTTCTCTGGATTGGTGTCGACAGCGATAATCCTCTCGGCTCCTGCAGCCTTGCAGCCCATGACTGCAGCCAAACCCACAGCTCCCAGGCCAAACACAGCACACGTGGAGCCCGGTTCCACCTAAAGTCAAAAGACTTTGGTCAACATGGCACTTTAGTTTGAACTTCTTGATGCTTCATAATAAGCAACAGAAACGTGTCCCTTAATGAGTGATTGTTCTCTCAAAGACCTCCCCATCTTTTATATCACAATAATTGTCAACTTTATAGGCATGTAACACAAAACGTCCCATTCTGTTGTTTCAAGACACAAAACATGATGTACAGTCAAACATACACACCTTAGCAGTATTAACTGCTGCTCCATATCCTGTGCAGATCCCACATCCAAGGAGACAGACTTTGTCTAGAGGGGCAGCGGGGTCGATCTTAGCCAGAGCCATCTGGTTAACCACAGTGTACTCAGAGAAGGTACTGGTTCCCGTAAACTGCTGCACCTTCTTCCCCTTACAGGTGAACCTGGAATCTACTGATACCATCACATCTTGACGAATATTGGACCTGAACAATAACATTTTTTAATGAAAAAAAAATTACACTTGATTTGAGTGGCACTTTTGTCCTATTAGAGGGTCCACTGAATACTTGCAATATGCTTAAAATGAAAAAAAAATCCAAAGATCTAAACTATCTGACTTGTGGTATCGTCACAAAGTGCCTACTGTGGAGACATGTTGAATAAAATGTTTCCATCAAATGGGCCTGTAACTGTATGAATGGAGTAGATGGCAGGAGATGAGTGCTTATTGAGCTCACCATGCTTTTTGACATTGGTTGGTCTTAGGACTCTTACAGAAGCGACATTCTCTACACTGAGAGTAGCTCACAGGGATAACCTTGTCTCCTGAAAGACAAAAAGAATGTTCACAGTGAGTTTCAACAGTGCCTTAAGCTGGACTATATGGTAAACATCTTCAAACGGTCTGCAGCACTTATAGACTGTACATTTAGAATTTGAAAGTTTTACCGTTTTAAAGTTTTACATTTTTACATTTTTTTGAATAAAAAGTTGACATCTGTATTGGTCACTGTATTTCTGAACTTTGGACAGAACCAGGCTAGCTGTTTCTAGTTTGCTAAGTTTAGTTAAGTAAAAATGCCCCAGCTACATACTCAACACATACATATCTCATAATGTTCGTTCAAAACTGACCTGGCTGAAATTCAGTGACTCCTGTCCCGACGCTCTCTACGATGCCGGCTGCCTCATGGCCGAGGACTACTGGGAAGCCGTCTTTATGCTTACCCTCAAACAGATGATACAGGTCTGTGTGGCACACTGCAGTTGCCACAATCTGCAGCGAAGACAGTAACCAAACAGTGACAACACAAGATGATTAAGGAGACAGGCTGATGAGTGTTCACTCTCAGTGGGTTCAGCAGTACTAGCACCACTTTCACATTTTATTGACACGTTTATTCAGTGTTAATATCAAACATATCATTTAACACATCATGTAAGCTGCACTAAGCTTTTTTGGATGTTTATTTATGTGACAGTACAACTCTGTGAAAACCAATGTGTGACAAAGTCAGGCTGCTGCAGGTAAGAGAGAAAGAGACAAGTGCCCGTGTGTGTTCTGATAGTGGACGTCTCTCACCTTGATGCGGACCTCGTCGGCCTGGGGCGGAGCTACCTCAATCTGCTCAATCACCAAAGGCTTGTTGGGCTCAAAGGCCACTGCTGCCTTGCACTTGATGACCTAGAAGGCAGTGACACCACACTAAGCATGAGGCAGTGGTGGTTCTAGACCAATTTTATTAAGGGGGCCAGGCTTGTTTTGAGGGGCATATTCAATCCAGGACAAAAGAGACCAAGGCAATGTTCAAGCTTTCAAAATGTCTTGTTTAGTATATAATGTAATTTTTTCGTATGTTTCATAAACTGACATTTATTTATTTCAGTAACAGGATCTTTTCAGTATCTTAGTTATAGTTTTATTAAATTACATTATTAAAAAAAACATTCACGTTAACTTTTGCTCAAGTTACAGTACATTCTTTGATGCAATACTTCTTTGTAAGGCTTAATGAACAGTATAAGCTCTAGTGTACTATTCTCTGGATCCCAGTTTGTATTTTGTATCCCACTATAACTAGTCCTGATGTGAAGTATACGCAAAGTTAAATACTTGATAGTAGGCCATCATCTGTGCATTATAAAGGGGGGAAAACATTTTATGACAAGTTGAAAACCATCACATACAGTCTGAAATAATTTGTATCCCACTATAACTTTTGCTAGGAAAATAGAAACTTCTCCATATTCACCCCTGTTATTAGTCATCATATGAAGTATACACAAAATTAAATACTTGATAGTAAGCCATCATCTGTGCATTATGGACAGGGATACATATTTTGGCAGACTGCATGTCCAGCATCCATGTAGGCTACTGTTATCACTTTTTGTGTATGAAAAGTGTGGTTTAAATGCAATGCATTATTAAATTGTTATGATAATAATTTACCTTTTAAGGACAGGGAATCAGAACAATTCCAGCAATATCCAAAGACTATCCATGCAATGGAAACGTTGATTACAAAGACAAAACATTGTCTACAATGCTGCATTCAGTATAATGTACTTTTCATTGTAAGGAAGATATATTACTGTGATCACTTTAGACCAGGGCTATTCAATTACAGATTCAGTTGGGCCAGATTTTAAAACCAGGACACAGAGATGGACCGGACATTTTCTCAGGAGTTGGGATCATTAGGATTTTATTTTCACGCTTATATTGGTAATCCTTTATCGATGCTCTTCCAAGTTCTATTCATTACAAAATAATTGAATATATTATTTAAAAAAAGAATGTAACATTTTTTATTAACTAAATGTTGTTTCTAGAGAAGCAACAGGATTTACAACCGCAAAGTCACTAATATCTCACTGGAAACAAATCTAACATGTCAGTAAAATAGTAAAATAAATAAAGTAAAATAAATCATATTCCCGACAACAACTGAACAACTCAGTCCCTCCTGTCCTCCCTCTGCTGTTGCTACTGGTAGAGTGGAGGGCTGGTCTGTCTCAGCAACCAGCTGAGTGTCATATTTTAATGTATGTGGCAAATGTCTCGGGTTATGTATGTAACCCCTGTTCCCCGAGAAGGGGAACGAGACACTGCGTCGGTTACGACACTATGGGAACGCCTCTGGGCGTGGCAGGGCTGAACTATGAATTAAACTACTCCAATCCTATTGGTGTTGCTAGAACGGTAAGGTGTGACGGAATAACCGGAGGAGTATAAAGCACACCTGTACACACTCATCATTAGCTTAAACTATGAAGCAGGCGCTTCAGGCGGGGAGAGAGGTGCAGCGGGCCGACGCAGTGTCTCGTTCCCCTTCTCGGGGAACCAGGGTTACATACGTAACCCGAGACGTTCCCCTTCGAGGGAACTCGAACTGCGTCGGTTACGACACTATGGGAACGAGATACCCACTAAACCATGCTGAAAACCCCGCCTGCCCCTGTGTGCAATAAAGTGGCACAACTAAGAGGAGAGCGCACGAGTGCCAGGTGCCGAAGGAAGGTCAAGACTGTAAAACCGAATGAATGTGTGCGGAGTGGCCCAGCCAGCCGCTAAACAAACATCCTGCAAAGAGGCCCCGGAAAGGAGGGCTCGAGAGGCCTCCATGCCTCTGGTAGAATGAGTCCTCACAGCCACAGGTGAAGGCAAACCGCGCACCTGATAGGCCAGGGATAGTAGTTCAATAGTCTGAACAATCCAGTTGCTAATAGTATGTTTGGATGCAGGGAGCCCAGCCCTGGGAGATCCAAAACACACTAGCAGCTGGTCAGCATTACTCCAACGGGAGGACCTCAGAGTGTAATCTCGAGACAGTTGATATGCCACTCGGATTGATGCACCTGCCAGGATCCCCTAGCAAAGCGGCCGTCCATGACCGCGCCCCAGCCCGTGAGGGGTCTCATGTGCAGAAGTCCAGATGGTATTACGCTGGACGCAGCCGCCAGGAGACCCAACACTCGTTGAAAGTGTTTTATAGTGATGGCGTGTCCTAACTTCACCCCTTTCACGGCAGCCAATATGGTGTCGACACATGCCGGAGACAATTATGCCCGCATCGTGGTCGAATCCCATACAACCCCTAGGAACGTAGTCCGTTGGGTGGGCGCCAGCACACTCTTCTTTGCGTTGAGCCTCAGCCCTAAACGCCACAGACAGCCAGAACGACATCTCGATTCCGAACCGCCAACTCTCGAGACTGGGCTAGGATGAGCCAGTCGTCGATGAAGTTGAAATCCGGATGCCCCGGAGCCTCAGCGGGGCCAGTGCTGCATCCATACACTTGGTGAATGTGTGAGGGGAAGTGCCAGGCCGAATGGAAGAACCCGATACTGGTAAGCCACACCCCCGAAGGCGAACCTCAGGAACTTCCTGTGAGAAGGACGGATGGAGACGTGGAAATAGGCGTCCTTTAGATCTATCGTGATGAACCAATCCTCAGATTGGATGTGCGTCACGATGGCGGGGATGATGAGCATCTTGAACCTGAATCTCCTCAGAGACCGGTTAGAACCCGCAGATCCAAAATAGGGCGCAGCCCTCCGTCCTTCTTGGGGACTATGAAGTACCGGCTGTAGAACCGGCGTCTCTGGGGGAGAGACACGTTCCACGGCCCCTTTCCACAGCAGAGTACGAACTTCCTGTTTGGAGGGAGGGTTTTGAACTGTAGTCGAAACCCATGTATGGCAGTGCGCAGGACCCACGGAGAAATGTTCGTCAGGCTCCGCCAAGCCTCTACGAAGTCTCCCAACGGAACCAACCCCTCGGGGCTGGTGGTCGGTGTCTCGTGTGATCTTCTGGTGGACCCCTGAAGCCCCATAACGGCAGGGGAGAGCCGCCGAAGATCCACGGTGAGTGAGTCTGAACGCCGCCTGACTGCAGACCCTCGGGGCAGGCAGTACGGCGTGGACTCGATGGTGGCAGGTGCGTCCTGAACGTGTAAACGGCGGGATAACATCACCCGTTGCCACGGCGGAGGGGACCTCGATCGGCCTCCGGGGAGGGTGGGGGGGGTGCGGGAGGGGAGAAAGACTCCCCTACCCCGGTCTTCCTTCAGCTCCGTCGGGACGGGATGACGGTCCTCAGATCGCGTCTCTCAGAAGGCTGAGGGTTAGAGTGCCGTCTCGCTGCCCCAGCTCCTCGGGGGGCCCCCGAGAAGCGACACTCTGCTTCCTCTCCTCTCCATAGGAGTTCGTAGAGGGAAGGGACCTACGCCTGGCAGCCTCAGCTGCCTTGGGTCCAGACCGGCGAGGGAGGTACTGGCGGAACGCTTCGCCCTGTGTCTAACGCTCTATGGTTCTGCGAAGCTCTGCCAGATCTTCCTCAGAGGGACCCCCCCTCTGAACCATCTCCTGTAGCAGGTCGGCTTGGTAGGCTTGAAGCACAACCATGGTGTGCAAGCTCGCACGTGCCTGGCCCGCTGCCATGTACGCCTTCCCCACGAGCGTAGATGTGGTGCAACATGGCTGGAGGGTAACGCCGGCTCCTCCAGGGAGGACGCAAGTCGAGGGGAGAGATAGCTCGCAAGCGCATCCTCCCCCCGAGGCATCCTCCCATGACCACGGTCCCTAACCCCCATCACATTACTGTAGTTCAGTGATCGGGGTGTGGAAAGCCATGTAGAGAAGGGTCTGCCCCATGATTACTCAGTTCATCATGTAAATCAGGAAAGAATGGCAGAGACCGGCGTGGAGGTGGTGCGTGGTGCTTAAGAAACCTTTCATCAAGCTTACCACTAGCCTGTGGTGTCTGCTCCTCCTGTGGCCAGTTGATGTTGAGCTTAGCCACGGCTCTAGTCACCACCTCCAGCAGCACGTCATAGTCGTGTGCCGCCAGATGACGCCGCCCCGACACCCGGAAGTCATCGTCCACTACGCTGAGCACGTTCGCCTCCTCGGAGTCGGATTGCTGCAGCGTCTCCGGATCCAAACCGCGAGCGGGAGAAGCCGAGAACGGGCTCCCGAACGAGGAAAGGAAACGTCGGAGCCAGCGGATGAAGTTCGGGAAAAAGCCTCAGCCGTCCCGAAATCCTCCGACAGATCACGCTGTGAACCCCATGAGTGAAGCCGCCGGGCCGCCTCTGCGGCCGCAGGGCCCACGCCACAGGGAAAATACATCCGGCCATCCTCGGAAAAGAGAGCCATGCTGTATCTCAGTACCCGCACGGAAAGGGCTTCGCAACGGGCAGCCCCCTCGAGAGCTGCCCGGGCGTGCTCCATCCCCAAACATGAGACACACATCTCATGAGACTCTCCATCCGTGATGTACCGAGGGCAAGAAAAAAAAACACACCTTCTGTACATCTGGTTGCCGGACATGCTGGTAGACTTCTTCTTCAGGTAAGACACACTGCTTGTAGGACTGGAGCTTTCTTCAAACAACATACAGAGCGCCTGCTGAATAGAAAAAAGCTAATGATGAGTGTGTACAGGTGTGCTTTATACTCCTCCGGTTATTCTGTCACACCTTACCGTTCTAGCAACAAGCCAATAGGATTGGAGTGATTTCATTCACGTTCAGACCGTCTCGGGTTACGTATGTAACCCTGGTTCCCCGAGAAGGGGAACGAGAGACTGCGTCGGTTACGACACTATGGGAACGCCTCTAGGCGAAGCAGGTCTGAACGTGAATGAAATCACTCCAATCCTATTGGCCTGTTGCTAGAA